TACCATAATTATGAAATATGCATATGATAGAATGAATATAGATGTTCCAGGTGGGATTGATTGGCTACATTCAAGCATGCATCATTCATGAGTCTGGTAAAAGAAAAAAGGGGGCATTCCGAGAATCGAACTCGGGACCTCTCGCACCCAAAGCGAGAATCATACCACTAGACCAAATGCCCTAGTTGAATATATTTCTTTCATTAAATCGAATTTATCGCATGTTATATTGCATCTTCTTGATGATGGTACAATTTATTAATGTGTACGCTAATTGTTTGATTACAAGAAGTTTTAAGTTGAAATGAAAATTATGAATAGAAAGTCAAAATATCCTAAACAATTGAACTCATAGCCTCCCATACCAAAATGATTCTTTTCTCTTATGCTTCCTTCAAAATCGAGAATCTACCCCTAGATCAGCTGTCCTATCTTTTCCTATATCATGTAGGCCTGGTCGTACTTTTAGCAAAGTTGCTCTTGAATGTTTGAAGAACTAGGTTAGGATCCTTGATTAGCTGGTGGGATTCTGATTGGCTGCATTCAAGCATGCACCCACGCTTCATGTTTGGTATGCACATACACTCCTAGTCTTTTATTTAGGTTGTTTTCTTACATTCTAGCTCAAGAATAATTAAATTACATTTGGAAGCTTAAATTTTGAAAATGGTAAAAGAAAATGGGATTGCTCCGAGAATTGGAATCAGGACCTCTCGCTTCCCAAAGCAAGAATCTTACCGCTAGACCAAATGTTTTTTAAATTTCAATTATCGTAATTAATATTACGTCTTCTTAATGTTGGAATCATGCTACAGTTTAGTTTATTAATGTGTTGTTGGTGAAGTTATTTTCTAATGGTGGTTGGTAAGCTTATTGGTAAAATACAATAAATTTGTGGGTTAAATGAAAATTATGAATAGAAAGGCCATACGACATCCAAAACAATGGAACTCAGGAACTCCCTTACCAAATTGATTGTTGTTTTCTTACGAAACTGAAAATCTACCTTAGATCAGCTGTCTTATATTTTCCAATATAAAATGCAGGATTTCATGGCTGGGCACATGCCCTTGTCGCTATGAAATGTTAAATATTTTTGTCAGAAATATATAAATATATATTATAGATGTGCTTCCAAGTGGGGGCATGGCATGGCTGGCTAGTATTCAAGCATTCATCCTCCATTATTTGGTATGATTTATTCTAAAGATTACTGACATTTTATTTAGTTGCTTCTGTGTTTCTCATGATCTATAAAATATATATACCTAATGAATATTATAATGGAATTGGAAAATTGTAATGGGGGCATTCCGAGAATTGAACTCGGGACCTCTCGCACCCTAAGCGAGAATCATACCACTAGACCAAATGCCCTGATGTTGAAGTTTTTTTAATGGTGATTGGTAAGCTTGTTGGTAGAACACACTAAGTTTTTGGGTTAAATGAAAATTATGAATAGAAAGTCAACAATCTCATGCCACATAAGGCATCTAAAACAATTGAACTCAAAACCTCCCATATCAAATTGATTGGTTTTTTCTTATGCTAACTTAGGAATTGAAAATCTACCAAATTTGTTAATGGTAAAAGTGAAGGGGCATTCTGCATAGAATCATTTCTATTTGATTATACATAATTTATTTATTGTTCTTTATTTTAATTCAGATGATATCCTCTTGATGTTGGGCATGGCTTGCTACATATTCAAGCATTCATCCTCCATTATTTGGTATGATTTATATTTGAAGGTTTCCTGAATTTTATTTAGGTTGCTTATATGTTTCTCATGATCTATAAAATATATTTATATACCTTGTTAATAATATAATGAAAATTGAAAATAGTTATAGAGCAATAGGGCCCCCCTTAGAATCATACTACTAGACCAAAGGCCCTATTTCTCTTGACATATCTAAAAAGTATAATCGAAAAAATCAATAGGGGAACCCCCAAGAATTGAACTAAAGCAAGAATCATACCACTAGACCAAATGCCCTATTTATCTTAAACTATTCCCAAAGGTTTCCTCATGATCTATATATACCTTATGAACAAGATAATGGAAAAAAAGAATAGGGGCATTCCAAGAATTGAACTTGGGACCTCTTGCACCCAAAGTGAGAATCATACCATTAGACCAAATGCCCAAATGCTCTGGTTGGGTATAAACATTCATTAAATAAATTTATTGTAAATTAGATGGTTGATCCAGTACAATTGATTAATGTGTAGTTTGTGAAGTTTCTTTTTCAATTGTTGTTGGTAAGCTTATTTTTGGTTGGAATGAAAATTATGAATAGAAAGTCAACAATGTCATGCCACATAAAGCATAAGAAAAAATTGAACTCAAAACCTCCCATACCAAGTGGGTTACTTTTTTTCTTATACTAACTACGAAATTGAGAATTTACCAGCTTTTCTTTTCCCATATCAAAAACAAGGTTTCAATTTTTAATTAGAACATGAAGATGTAGACTTCATTGCACTTAACAAAGTTGCTTTTGAATGATTGATGAACTAAGTTAGGATCCTGGATTACCTGCCTTGCTTTATGAATTATCTTGTGCCTGTCTCTTTGAAACTAACGATCTAAGTTTCTTATCATAATTATAAATATGCATGATAGATTATAAATGAACTTCAAGGTGGGATTCTGGTTGGTTGCACTAAAGCATGCATCATTCTTCTCTGGTATGTATATACACTCTTAGTAGTTTATTTAGGTTGTTTGCTTTCCTTCTTCTCTTGAACAATAAAATATAATGGGGTAACGAATAATTAAATGGCATTTGGAAGCTTAAATTTTGAAAATTTTAAAAGAAAAAAGGGGCATTCCGAGAATTGAATTCGAGACCTCTCGCACCCAAAGCGAGAATCATACCACTAGACCAAATGCCCAGGTTGAATATATTACATTCATTAAATCCAATTTATTATTAGTTATATTGCATTTCTTGATGATGAAGCCACAAATAGTCAATGTGTAGTTGGTGAAGTTGTTTTTTCAATTGTGGTTGGTAAGCTTATGGATAGATTACCGGAAGTCTTTGGTTGGAATGAAAATTATGAATAGAAAGTCAACAATCTTATGCCACATGAAAAAGCATAAGAAAAAATTCAAAATCCAGGTTTCAATTTTTAATTAGGACATGAAGATGTAAACTTCATTGCACGTAGCAAATTTGCTTTTGAATGATTGATGAACTAAGTTAGGTTTCTTGATTAGCTGCCTTGGTTTATGAATTGTCTTGTGCTTGTCTTTTTGAAGCTAATGATCAAAGTTTCTTATCATAAATATGAAATATGCATATGATAGAATGAATATAGATGAAGTTCCTGGTGGGATTGATTGGCTTCATTCAAGCATGCATCATTCATGTCTGGTATGCGTATACACTCCTTTTATTTAGGTTGTTTACTTTCCTTCTCTTGAAGGATAAAATATAAAGGTGTAACAAATAATTAATTGGCATTTGAAAGTTTAAATTTTGAAAATGGTAAAAGCAAAAGGGGGCATTCCGAGAATCGAACTCGGGACCTCTCGCACCCAAAGCAAGAATCATACCACTAGACCAAATGCCCTAGCTGAAGACATTGGATTCATTAAATCGAATTTATTGTAAGTTGGTACAGTTTACTAATGTGTAGTTGGTGAAGTTGCTTGTTTGTAAGCTAATTGTTTGATCACAAGAAGTTTTTAGTTGAAATGAAAATTATGAATAGAAAGTCAAAATATCCTAAACAATTGAACTCATAACATCCCATACAAAATTGATTCTTTTTTCTTATGCTTCCTTCAAAATCGAGAATCTACTCCTAGATCAGCTGCCCTATCTTTTCCTACATCAAATATAGGAGTTCAATTTTAATAAGACATATGGTTGTACTTTTAGCAAAGTTGCTCTTGAATTTTTGATGAACTAGATTAGGATCCTTGATTAGCTGGTGGGATTCTGATTGGCTCCATTCAAGCATGCACCCTTCATGTTTGATATGCTTATACACTCATACTCTTTTATTTAGGTTGTTTTCTTACATTCTTCTCTTGAAAAATAAAATAGAAACAGCTAAGAATTATTAATTGGCATTTAGAAGCTTAAATTTTGAAAATGGTAAAGGAAGAAAATGGGGGCATTTCCAGAATTGGACTTAGGACCTCTGGCACCCATCGCGAGAATCTTACTACTAGACCATTTGTTTTTTAAATATCAATTATCGTAATTAATATTACATCTTCTTAATGTTGGAATCATGCTACAGTTTATTAATGTGTTGTTGGTGAAGTTATTTTTTGATGGTGGGTGGTAAGCTTACTGGTGGAATACAAGAAGTTTTTGGGTTAAATGAAAATTAGGAATGTAAAGTCCATACGGCATCCAAAACAATTGAACTCAGAACCTCCTTACCAAATTGATTGCCTTTTCTCTTACGAAATTGAAAATCTACCTTAGATCAACTGTCTTATATTTGCCAATATCAATACAGGATTTCACGGCTGGGCACATGCCCTCGTCACTATGAATGTTAAATATTTTTATCAGAAATATATAAATATATATTATAGATGTGCTTCCAAGTGGGAACATGGCATGGCTGGCTACTTATTCAAGCATTCATCCTCCATTATTTGGTATGATTTATATTTAAAGATTACTGACATTTTATTTGAATTGCTTATGTGTTTCTCATGATCTATAAAATATATATTCCTTATGAATAATATAATGGTTTTGGAAATAGTAAAATGTAAAGGAGGCATTCCGAGAATTGAACTCGGGACCTCTTGACCAAATGCCCTGATGTTGAAATTTTTTAATGGTGATTGATAAGCTTGTTGATAGAACACACTAAGTTTTTGGGTTAAATGAAAATTATGAATAGAAAGTCAACAATATCATGCCACATAAGGCATCCAAAACAATATCTACTTAACATTCGTCTCTTGGACTTCGTAAAGATCTTACATTTCCATTACTTGGTATCTTTGCATATAGACTCCTGGTCTTTTATTTTCTAGGTTGCCCACTTAAGATTCTTCTCTTGGACTCGGTTTAAAAGATCTTATTTATGTCCGGGCTGGGACATCAAATAAAGATCTCTTATGAAAATTGACTGGAACTTGGAAGTTAAGATTTAGTAATGTTAGTGAAAAAAAATTTGGGGCATTCTGAGAATCTAACTCGGGACCTCTCACACCCGAAGCAAGAATCATACCACTAGACCACATGCCCTATATGAGTGTACCAAATTAATTCTTTTTTATTGTAGTTCGAATAATGTATCCATGGCATCATTGTCGAACTTGTTTTAAAATGAAAATTATGTATAGAAAGTCAACAAGCACATGAGGCATTCTAAGAAATGAACGCAGAACCTCCATTCCCAAATTGTGAGACTGCCACTAGATCAAATGCCTTTTTCCTTTATCATATATCAATTTTTAATTGAGACTTATTGAGATTTATATCTGGTCTTGTGCTGTTGTACACACATCATTGACTTTTTTTTTTTTTTGAGAATTGCACATCAATGATTTATTTCATCAACCATTCCAAATTATCTTGTGCATGTCTAAACATCTTTATCAGAAATATGTAATTACACACGATAGATGTGCTTCCAGGTGAGATTCCAAGCTGATTGCTTATTCAAGCATTCATCTTCCATCATTTGTTCTCTCTCTATATATAGACTCCTAGTCTTTTTGTTTACGTTTAACTACATTCATATTTTGAAGTATAAAATATGAAGATCTAATGAATAATGGAACGAAATTTGGAAGTTTAACCTTGAAAATGGTGGGGGGAGGGGGGATTTTGAGAATAGAACTCGGAACATCTCGCACCTAAAGTCATGCCACTAAATCAAATGCCCAGTTTGAATGCAAGAAAATCATCTGCTATTTTTCATTGTAATAGATTATAACTTCTTGATGCTGGAACCTTGGTACAATTGACTAATGTGTAGTTGGTGGTTGCTAAACTTATGGGTAGATAACAAGAAGTTTTTGGTTGAAATGGTAATTAAGAATAGATAGTCAACAGCTCATGCCACATAACGCATCAGAAAAAATTGAACTCAGAACCTCCTATACCAAATTGAGTTTATTTTTTTTTTTTCTTTTGCTAAATATGAACTTGAGAATTTACCACCAGATCAACTGCCCCATCCTTTCCTGTATCAAATAGAGGATTTCAATTTTATTTTTATTTTTATAAGAGACAATTTCATTGATGAGTGAAATTTACAAGAGGGATGTATAAGACCTTCCCAATTTGCAATGAGGGAGGTATACATCAAGTAAGACGTATGAAGATGTAGATGTGATCCTCATGTTGTATGGTTGTCAGTGATTTGGTTTACTTTGCAAAGTTGCTTTTGGATGGTTGATGAAATAAGTTAGGATCCCTGAAATAATTTATGATATTTATGAATCATCTTGTGCTTGTCTCTTTGAAATTAATGACCAAGGTTTCTTCTCGTAATTATAAGGTATGCATGATTGAATATAGATGAACTTCCAGGTGGGATTCTAGTTGGCTCCGTTCAAGCATGCACCCTTCATATCTGGTATGCATATGCACTCTTAGTCTGTTAATTTGGTTGTTTGCTTCTGTTCTCCTCTTAAACAATAAAATATAGAGAGTCAATGAATAACTAAACGACATCTGGACGCTTAAATTTGAAAATGATAAGAACAAAAAGGGGCATTCCGAGAATTGAACTCGGGACCTCTCACACCCGAAGCGAGAATCATACCACTAGACCAAATGCCCTGGATGACTATAATAACTTCGTTAAATAATTTTTATTGTAACTGACATTGCATCTTGATGTTGGAACCACGGTATAATTGATTAATATGCAGTTGGTGAATTTGCTTTTTCAATGGTGGTTGGCAAGCTTATTGGTAGTTTACAAGAAGTTTTTCGTTGAAATTAAAATTATGAATAGAAAGTCTGCAATCTCATGTCACATGAGGCATCCAAAGAAAATTGAACTCAGAACCTCCCATACAAAATTGATTACTTTTTTTCTTATGCTAACTACGAAATTGATAATCTACCACCACATCAACAGCCTAATCTTTTCCTACATCAAAATACAGGATTTCAATTTTTAATTAAGACATGAAAATGTTAACCTGATTGCACCTAGCAAAGTTGCTTCTAAATGATTGATGAACTAAGTTAAGATCCTTGTTTAGCTGCCTAGATTTATGAATTGTCTTGTGCTTGTCTTTTTTAAACCAATGATCAAAGTTTCTTATCATAATCATGAAATTTGCTTATGGTAGAATGAATATAGATGAATTTCCAGGTGGGATTGATTGGCTACATTCAAGCATGCATCATTCATGTCTTGTATGCATATACACTCCTTTTATTTAGGTTGTTTGCTTACCTTCTTCTCTTGAACAATAAAATATAAAAGGGTAAGGAATAATTTAATGGCATTTGGAAGCTTAAATTTTGAAAATGGTAAAAGCAAAAAGGGGGCATTCCGAGAATCGAACTCGGGACCTCTCGCACCCAAAGCGAGAATCATACCACTAGACCAAATGCCCTGGTTAAGTATGATACATTCATTAAATCAAATTTATTGGAAGTTATATTGCATCTTCCTGATGGTTGAGCCACGGTACAATTGATTAATATGTAGTTGGTGAAGTTTGGTGAAGTTTCTTTTTCAATTGTGGTTGGTAAGCTTATTGGTAGATTACCAGAAGTTTTTGGTTTGAATGAAAATTATGAATAGAAAGTCAACAATGTCATGCCACATGAAGCATAAGAAAAAATTGAACTCAAAACCTCCCATACCAAATGGGTTACTTTTTTTCTTATGCTAACTATGAAATTGAGAATTTACCTGCTTTTCTTTTCCCATATCAAAAACAAGGTTTCAATTTTTAATTAGGACATGAAGATGTAGACCTCATTGCACTTAGCAAAGTTGCTTTTGAATGATTGATGAACTAAGTTAGGGTCCTTGATCGATACCTTATGAATTATATAATGGAATTGGTAATAGTAAATGTATTGGGAGCATTCCGAGAATTGAACTCGGACCTCTCGCACCCTAAGCTGGAATCATACCACTAGACCAAATGCCCTACTCAGGTAGACTCCATTGCACATAGCAAAATCATGCAACTAAACCAAAAACACCATAAGTGAGAATCATTCCACTAGACCAAAAACAAGGTTTAAATTTTTAACTAGGACATGAAGATGTAGACCTCAATGCGCTTAGCAGAGTTGCTTTTGAATGATTGATGAATTAAGTTAGGATCCTTGATTAGCTTCCTTGATTTATGAATTATCATAATTATGAAATATGCATATGATAGAATGAATATAGATGAACTTCCAGGTGTGATTGATTGGATACATTCATCATTCATGTCTCGTATGCATACCTTCTTGTCTTGAACAATAAAATATAACTGGGTAAAGAATAATTTAATGGCATTTGGAAGCTTAAATGTTGAAAATGGTAAAAGCAAAAAGGGGGCATTTTGAGAATCAAACTTGGGACCTCTGACACCCAAAACAAGAATCATACCACTAGACCAAAAGCCCTGGTTGAGTATGGTACATTCATTAAATCAAATTTATTGGAAGTTATATTGCATCTTCCTGATTGTTGAGCCACGGTACAATTGATTAATGTGTAATTGGTGAAGTTTCTTTTTCAATTGTGGTTGGTAAGCTTATTGGTAGATAACCAGAAGTTTTTAGTTGGAATGGAAATTATGAATAGAAAGTCAACAATCTCATGCCACATAAAAAAGCATAAGAAAAAAATTCAAATGAGTTACTTTTTTCCTTATGCTAACTACGAAATTGAGAATTTACCACCAAATCAACTGCTTTTCTTTTCAGATATCAAAAACCATGTTTCAATTTTTAATTAGGATATGAAGATGTAGACCTGATTGCACTTAGCAAAGTAGCTTTTGAATGATTGATGAACTAAGTTAGGATCCTTGATTAGCTGCCTTGGTTTATGAATTGTCTTATGCTTGTCTTTTTGAAACTAATGATCAAAGTTTCTTACCATAATTATGAAATATGCATATGATAGAATGAATATAGATGTTCCAGGTGGGATTGATTGGCTACATTCAAGCATGCATCATTCATGAGTCTGGTAAAAGAAAAAAGGGGGCATTCCGAGAATCGAACTCGGGACCTCTCGCACCCAAAGCGAGAATCATACCACTAGACCAAATGCCCTAGTTGAATATATTTCTTTCATTAAATCGAATTTATCGCATGTTATATTGCATCTTCTTGATGATGGTACAATTTATTAATGTGTACGCTAATTGTTTGATTACAAGAAGTTTTAAGTTGAAATGAAAATTATGAATAGAAAGTCAAAATATCCTAAACAATTGAACTCATAGCCTCCCATACCAAAATGATTCTTTTCTCTTATGCTTCCTTCAAAATCGAGAATCTACCCCTAGATCAGCTGTCCTATCTTTTCCTATATCATGTAGGCCTGGTCGTACTTTTAGCAAAGTTGCTCTTGAATGTTTGAAGAACTAGGTTAGGATCCTTGATTAGCTGGTGGGATTCTGATTGGCTGCATTCAAGCATGCACCCACGCTTCATGTTTGGTATGCACATACACTCCTAGTCTTTTATTTAGGTTGTTTTCTTACATTCTAGCTCAAGAATAATTAAATTACATTTGGAAGCTTAAATTTTGAAAATGGTAAAAGAAAATGGGATTGCTCCGAGAATTGGAATCAGGACCTCTCGCTTCCCAAAGCAAGAATCTTACCGCTAGACCAAATGTTTTTTAAATTTCAATTATCGTAATTAATATTACGTCTTCTTAATGTTGGAATCATGCTACAGTTTAGTTTATTAATGTGTTGTTGGTGAAGTTATTTTCTAATGGTGGTTGGTAAGCTTATTGGTAAAATACAATAAATTTGTGGGTTAAATGAAAATTATGAATAGAAAGGCCATACGACATCCAAAACAATGGAACTCAGGAACTCCCTTACCAAATTGATTGTTGTTTTCTTACGAAACTGAAAATCTACCTTAGATCAGCTGTCTTATATTTTCCAATATAAAATGCAGGATTTCATGGCTGGGCACATGCCCTTGTCGCTATGAAATGTTAAATATTTTTGTCAGAAATATATAAATATATATTATAGATGTGCTTCCAAGTGGGGGCATGGCATGGCTGGCTAGTATTCAAGCATTCATCCTCCATTATTTGGTATGATTTATTCTAAAGATTACTGACATTTTATTTAGTTGCTTCTGTGTTTCTCATGATCTATAAAATATATATACCTAATGAATATTATAATGGAATTGGAAAATTGTAATGGGGGCATTCCGAGAATTGAACTCGGGACCTCTCGCACCCTAAGCGAGAATCATACCACTAGACCAAATGCCCTGATGTTGAAGTTTTTTTAATGGTGATTGGTAAGCTTGTTGGTAGAACACACTAAGTTTTTGGGTTAAATGAAAATTATGAATAGAAAGTCAACAATCTCATGCCACATAAGGCATCTAAAACAATTGAACTCAAAACCTCCCATATCAAATTGATTGGTTTTTTCTTATGCTAACTTAGGAATTGAAAATCTACCAAATTTGTTAATGGTAAAAGTGAAGGGGCATTCTGCATAGAATCATTTCTATTTGATTATACATAATTTATTTATTGTTCTTTATTTTAATTCAGATGATATCCTCTTGATGTTGGGCATGGCTTGCTACATATTCAAGCATTCATCCTCCATTATTTGGTATGATTTATATTTGAAGGTTTCCTGAATTTTATTTAGGTTGCTTATATGTTTCTCATGATCTATAAAATATATTTATATACCTTGTTAATAATATAATGAAAATTGAAAATAGTTATAGAGCAATAGGGCCCCCCTTAGAATCATACTACTAGACCAAAGGCCCTATTTCTCTTGACATATCTAAAAAGTATAATCGAAAAAATCAATAGGGGAACCCCCAAGAATTGAACTAAAGCAAGAATCATACCACTAGACCAAATGCCCTATTTATCTTAAACTATTCCCAAAGGTTTCCTCATGATCTATATATACCTTATGAACAAGATAATGGAAAAAAAGAATAGGGGCATTCCAAGAATTGAACTTGGGACCTCTTGCACCCAAAGTGAGAATCATACCATTAGACCAAATGCCCAAATGCTCTGGTTGGGTATAAACATTCATTAAATAAATTTATTGTAAATTAGATGGTTGATCCAGTACAATTGATTAATGTGTAGTTTGTGAAGTTTCTTTTTCAATTGTTGTTGGTAAGCTTATTTTTGGTTGGAATGAAAATTATGAATAGAAAGTCAACAATGTCATGCCACATAAAGCATAAGAAAAAATTGAACTCAAAACCTCCCATACCAAGTGGGTTACTTTTTTTCTTATACTAACTACGAAATTGAGAATTTACCAGCTTTTCTTTTCCCATATCAAAAACAAGGTTTCAATTTTTAATTAGAACATGAAGATGTAGACTTCATTGCACTTAACAAAGTTGCTTTTGAATGATTGATGAACTAAGTTAGGATCCTGGATTACCTGCCTTGCTTTATGAATTATCTTGTGCCTGTCTCTTTGAAACTAACGATCTAAGTTTCTTATCATAATTATAAATATGCATGATAGATTATAAATGAACTTCAAGGTGGGATTCTGGTTGGTTGCACTAAAGCATGCATCATTCTTCTCTGGTATGTATATACACTCTTAGTAGTTTATTTAGGTTGTTTGCTTTCCTTCTTCTCTTGAACAATAAAATATAATGGGGTAACGAATAATTAAATGGCATTTGGAAGCTTAAATTTTGAAAATTTTAAAAGAAAAAAGGGGCATTCCGAGAATTGAATTCGAGACCTCTCGCACCCAAAGCGAGAATCATACCACTAGACCAAATGCCCAGGTTGAATATATTACATTCATTAAATCCAATTTATTATTAGTTATATTGCATTTCTTGATGATGAAGCCACAAATAGTCAATGTGTAGTTGGTGAAGTTGTTTTTTCAATTGTGGTTGGTAAGCTTATGGATAGATTACCGGAAGTCTTTGGTTGGAATGAAAATTATGAATAGAAAGTCAACAATCTTATGCCACATGAAAAAGCATAAGAAAAAATTCAAAATCCAGGTTTCAATTTTTAATTAGGACATGAAGATGTAAACTTCATTGCACGTAGCAAATTTGCTTTTGAATGATTGATGAACTAAGTTAGGTTTCTTGATTAGCTGCCTTGGTTTATGAATTGTCTTGTGCTTGTCTTTTTGAAGCTAATGATCAAAGTTTCTTATCATAAATATGAAATATGCATATGATAGAATGAATATAGATGAAGTTCCTGGTGGGATTGATTGGCTTCATTCAAGCATGCATCATTCATGTCTGGTATGCGTATACACTCCTTTTATTTAGGTTGTTTACTTTCCTTCTCTTGAAGGATAAAATATAAAGGTGTAACAAATAATTAATTGGCATTTGAAAGTTTAAATTTTGAAAATGGTAAAAGCAAAAGGGGGCATTCCGAGAATCGAACTCGGGACCTCTCGCACCCAAAGCAAGAATCATACCACTAGACCAAATGCCCTAGCTGAAGACATTGGATTCATTAAATCGAATTTATTGTAAGTTGGTACAGTTTACTAATGTGTAGTTGGTGAAGTTGCTTGTTTGTAAGCTAATTGTTTGATCACAAGAAGTTTTTAGTTGAAATGAAAATTATGAATAGAAAGTCAAAATATCCTAAACAATTGAACTCATAACATCCCATACAAAATTGATTCTTTTTTCTTATGCTTCCTTCAAAATCGAGAATCTACTCCTAGATCAGCTGCCCTATCTTTTCCTACATCAAATATAGGAGTTCAATTTTAATAAGACATATGGTTGTACTTTTAGCAAAGTTGCTCTTGAATTTTTGATGAACTAGATTAGGATCCTTGATTAGCTGGTGGGATTCTGATTGGCTCCATTCAAGCATGCACCCTTCATGTTTGATATGCTTATACACTCATACTCTTTTATTTAGGTTGTTTTCTTACATTCTTCTCTTGAAAAATAAAATAGAAACAGCTAAGAATTATTAATTGGCATTTAGAAGCTTAAATTTTGAAAATGGTAAAGGAAGAAAATGGGGGCATTTCCAGAATTGGACTTAGGACCTCTGGCACCCATCGCGAGAATCTTACTACTAGACCATTTGTTTTTTAAATATCAATTATCGTAATTAATATTACATCTTCTTAATGTTGGAATCATGCTACAGTTTATTAATGTGTTGTTGGTGAAGTTATTTTTTGATGGTGGGTGGTAAGCTTACTGGTGGAATACAAGAAGTTTTTGGGTTAAATGAAAATTAGGAATGTAAAGTCCATACGGCATCCAAAACAATTGAACTCAGAACCTCCTTACCAAATTGATTGCCTTTTCTCTTACGAAATTGAAAATCTACCTTAGATCAACTGTCTTATATTTGCCAATATCAATACAGGATTTCACGGCTGGGCACATGCCCTCGTCACTATGAATGTTAAATATTTTTATCAGAAATATATAAATATATATTATAGATGTGCTTCCAAGTGGGAACATGGCATGGCTGGCTACTTATTCAAGCATTCATCCTCCATTATTTGGTATGATTTATATTTAAAGATTACTGACATTTTATTTGAATTGCTTATGTGTTTCTCATGATCTATAAAATATATATTCCTTATGAATAATATAATGGTTTTGGAAATAGTAAAATGTAAAGGAGGCATTCCGAGAATTGAACTCGGGACCTCTTGACCAAATGCCCTGATGTTGAAATTTTTTAATGGTGATTGATAAGCTTGTTGATAGAACACACTAAGTTTTTGGGTTAAATGAAAATTATGAATAGAAAGTCAACAATATCATGCCACATAAGGCATCCAAAACAATATCTACTTAACATTCGTCTCTTGGACTTCGTAAAGATCTTACATTTCCATTACTTGGTATCTTTGCATATAGACTCCTGGTCTTTTATTTTCTAGGTTGCCCACTTAAGATTCTTCTCTTGGACTCGGTTTAAAAGATCTTATTTATGTCCGGGCTGGGACATCAAATAAAGATCTCTTATGAAAATTGACTGGAACTTGGAAGTTAAGATTTAGTAATGTTAGTGAAAAAAAATTTGGGGCATTCTGAGAATCTAACTCGGGACCTCTCACACCCGAAGCAAGAATCATACCACTAGACCACATGCCCTATATGAGTGTACCAAATTAATTCTTTTTTATTGTAGTTCGAATAATGTATCCATGGCATCATTGTCGAACTTGTTTTAAAATGAAAATTATGTATAGAAAGTCAACAAGCACATGAGGCANTACCTTCTTCTCTTGAACAATAAAATATAAAAGGGTAAGGAATAATTTAATGGCATTTGGAAGCTTAAATTTTGAAAATGGTAAAAGCAAAAAGGGGGCATTCCGAGAATCGAACTCGGGACCTCTCACACCCAAAGCGAGAATCATACCACTAGACCAAATGCCCTGGTTAAGTATGATACATTCATTAAATCAAATTTATTGGAAGTTATATTGCATCTTCCTGATGGTTGAGCCACGGTACAATTGATTAATATGTAGTTGGTGAAGTTTGGTGAAGTTTCTTTTTCAATTGTGGTTGGTAAGCTTATTGGTAGATAACCAGAAGTTTTTGGTTTGAATGAAAATTATGAATAGAAAGTCAACAATGTCATGCCACATGAAGCATAAGAAAAAATTGAACTCAAAACCTCCCATACCAAATGGGTTACTTTTTTTCTTATGCTAACTATGAAATTGAGAATTTACCTGCTTTTCTTTTCCCATATCAAAAACAAGGTTTCAATTTTTAATTAGGACATGAAGATGTAGACCTCATTGCACTTAGCAAAGTTGCTTTTGAATGATTGATGAACTAAGTTAGGGTCCTTGATCGATACCTTATGAATTATATAATGGAATTGGTAATAGTAAATGTATTGGGAGCATTCCGAGAATTGAACTCGGACCTCTCGCACCCTAAGCTGGAATCATACCACTAGACCAAATGCCCTACTCAGGTAGACTCCATTGCACATAGCAAAATCATGCAACTAAACCAAAAACACCATAAGTGAGAATCATTCCACTAGACCAAAAACAAGGTTTAAATTTTTAACTAGGACATGAAGATGTAGACCTCAATGCGCTTAGCAGAGTTGCTTTTGAATGATTGATGAATTAAGTTAGGATCCTTGATTAGCTTCCTTGATTTATGAATTATCATAATTATGAAATATGCATATGATAGAATGAATATAGATGAACTTCCAGGTGTGATTGATTGGATACATTCATCATTCATGTCTCGTATGCATACCTTCTTGTCTTGAACAATAAAATATAACTGGGTAAAGAATAATTTAATGGCATTTGGAAGCTTAAATGTTGAAAATGGTAAAAGCAAAAAGGGGGCATTTTGAGAATCAAACTTGGGACCTCTGACACCCAAAACAAGAATCATACCACTAGACCAAAAGCCCTGGTTGAGTATGGTACATTCATTAAATCAAATTTATTGGAAGTTATATTGCATCTTCCTGATTGTTGAGCCACGGTACAATTGATTAATGTGTAATTGGTGAAGTTTCTTTTTCAATTGTGGTTGGTAAGCTTATTGGTAGATAACCAGAAGTTTTTAGTTGGAATGGAAATTATGAATAGAAAGTCAACAATCTCATGCCACATAAAAAAGCATAAGAAAAAAATTCAAATGAGTTACTTTTTTCCTTATGCTAACTACGAAATTGAGAATTTACCACCAAATCAACTGCTTTTCTTTTCAGATATCAAAAACCATGTTTCAATTTTTAATTAGGATATGAAGATGTAGACCTGATTGCACTTAGCAAAGTAGCTTTTGAATGATTGATGAACTAAGTTAGGATCCTTGATTAGCTGCCTTGGTTTATGAATTGTCTTATGCTTGTCTTTTTGAAACTAATGATCAAAGTTTCTTACCATAATTATGAAATATGCATATGATAGAATGAATATAGATGTTCCAGGTGGGATTGATTGGCTACATTCAAGCATGCATCATTCATGAGTCTGGTAAAAGAAAAAAGGGGGCATTCCGAGAATCGAACTCGGGACCTCTCGCACCCAAAGCGAGAATCATACCACTAGACCAAATGCCCTAGTTGAATATATTTCTTTCATTAAATCGAATTTATCGCATGTTATATTGCATCTTCTTCATGATGGTACAATTTATTAATGTGTACGCTAATTGTTTGATTACAAGAAGTTTTAAGTTGAAATGAAAATTATGAATAGAAAGTCAAAATATCCTAAACAATTGAACTCATAGCCTCCGCTCTTGAATGTTTGAAGAACTAGGTTAGGATCCTTGATTAGCTGGTGGGATTCTGATTGGCTGCATTCAAGCATGCACCCACGCTTCATGTTTGGTATGCACATACACTCCTAGTCTTTTATTTAGGTTGTTTTCTTACATTCTAGCTCAAGAATAATTAAATTACATTTGGAAGCTTAAATTTTGAAAATGGTAAAAGAAAATGGGATTGCTCCGAGAATTGGAATCAGGACCTCTCGCTTCCCAAAGCAAGAATCTTACCGCTAGACCAAATGTTTTTTAAATTTCAATTATCGTAATTAATATTACGTCTTCTTAATGTTGGAATCATGCTACAGTTTAGTTTATTAATGTGTTGTTGGTGAAGTTATTTTCTAATGGTGGTTGGTAAGCTTATTGGTAAAATACAATAAATTTGTGGGTTAAATGAAAATTATGAATAGAAAGGCCATACGACATCCAAAACAATGGAACTCAGGAACTCCCTTACCAAATTGATTGTTGTTTTCTTACGAAACTGAAAATCTACCTTAGATCAGCTGTCTTATATTTTCCAATATCAAATGCAGGATTTCATGGCTGGGCACATGCCCTTGTCGCTATGAAATGTTAAATATTTTTGTCAGAAATATATAAATATATATTATAGATGTGCTTCCAAGTGGGGACATGGCATGGCTGGCTAGTATTCAAGCATTCATCCTCCATTATTTGGTATGATTTATTCTAAAGATTACTGACATTTTATTTAGTTGCTTCTGTGTTTCTCATGATCTATAAAATATATATACCTAATGAATATTATAATGGAATTGGAAAATTGTAATGGGGGCATTCCGAGAATTGAACTCGGGACCTCTCGCACCCTAAGCGAGAATCATACCACTAGACCAAATGCCCTGATGTTGAAGTTTTTTTAATGGTGATTGGTAAGCTTGTTGGTAGAACACACTAAGTTTTTGGGTTAAATGAAAATTATGAATAGAAAGTCAACAATCTCATGCCACATAAGGCATCTAAAACAATTGAACTCAAAACCTCCCATATCAAATTGATTGGTTTTTTCTTATGCTAACTTAGGAATTGAAAATCTACCAAATTTGTTAATGGTAAAAGTGAAGGGGCATTCTGCATAGAATCATTTCTATTTGATTATACATAATTTATTTATTGTTCTTTATTTTAATTCAGATGATATCCTCTTGATGTTGGGCATGGCTTGCTACATATTCAAGCATTCATCCTCCATTATTTGGTATGATTTATTCTAAAGATTACTGACATTTTATTTAGTTGCTTCTGTGTTTCTCATGATCTATAAAATATATATACCTAATGAATATTATAATGGAATTGGAAATGGAAAATTGTAATGGGGGCATTCCGAGAATTGAACTCGGGACCTCTCGCACCCTAAGCGAGAATCATACCACTAGACCAAATGCCCTGATGTTGAAGTTTTTTTAATGGTGATTGGTAAGCTTGTTGGTAGAACACACTAAGTTTTTGGGTTAAATGAACATTATGAATAGAAAGTCAACAATCTCATGCCACATAAGGCATCTAAAACAATTGAACTCAAAACCTCCCATATCAAATTGATTGTTTTTTTCTTATGCTAACTTAGGAATTGAAAATCTACCAAATTTGTTAATGGTAAAAGTGAAGGGGCATTCTGCATAGAATCATTTCTATTTGATTATACATAATTTATTTATTGTTCTTTATTTTAATTCAGATGATATCCTCTTGATGTTGGGCATGGCTTGCTACATATTCAAGCATTCATCCTCCATTATTTGGTATGATTTATATTTGAAGGTTTCCTGAATTTTATTTAGGTTGCTTATATGTTTCTCATGATCTATAAAATATATTTATATACCTTGTTAATAATATAATGAAAATTGAAAATAGTTATAGAGCAATAGGGCCCCCCTTAGAATCATACTACTAGACCAAAGGCCCTATTTCTCTTGACATATCTAAAAAGTATAATCGAAAAAATCAATAGGGGAACCCCCAAGAATTGAACTAAAGCAAGAATCATACCACTAGACCAAATGCCCTATTTATCTTAAACTATTCCCAAAGGTTTCCTCATGATCTATATATACCTTATGAACAAGATAATGGAAAAAAAGAATAGGGGCATTCCAAGAATTGAACTTGGGACCTCTTGCACCCAAAGTGAGAATCATACCATTAGACCAAATGCCCAAATGCTCTGGTTGGGTATAAACATTCATTAAATAAATTTATTGTAAATTAGATGGTTGATCCAGTACAATTGATTAATGTGTAGTTTGTGAAGTTTCTTTTTCAATTGTTGTTGGTAAGCTTATTTTTGGTTGGAATGAAAATTATGAATAGAAAGTCAACAATGTCATGCCACATAAAGCATAAGAAAAAATTGAACTCAAAACCTCCCATACCAAGTGGGTTACTTTTTTTCTTATACTAACTACGAAATTGAGAATTTACCAGCTTTTCTTTTCCCATATCAAAAACAAGGTTTCAATTTTTAATTAGAACATGAAGATGTAGACTTCATTGCACTTAACAAAGTTGCTTTTGAATGATTGATGAACTAAGTTAGGATCCTGGATTAACTGCCTTGCTTTATGAATTATCTTGTGCCTGTCTCTTTGAAACTAACGATCTAAGTTTCTTATCATAATTATAAATATGCATGATAGATTATAAATGAACTTCAAGGTGGGATTCTGGTTGGTTGCACTAAAGCATGCATCATTCTTCTCTGGTATGTATATACACTCTTAGTAGTTTATTTAGGTTGTTTGCTTTCCTTCTTCTCTTTAACAATTAAGTATCATGCGGTAACGAATAATTAAATGGCATTTGGAAGCTTAAATTTTGAAAATATCATGGAGCCACAATTAGTCAATGTGTTGTTGGTGAAGGTGTTTTTTCAATTGTGGTTGGTAAGCTTATTGATAGATAACCAGAAGTTTTTGGTTGAATGAAAATTATGAATAGAAAGTCAACAATCTCATGCCACATAAAAAAGCATAAGAAAAAATTCAAATGAGTTACTTTTTTTCTTATGCTAACTACGAAATTGAAAATTTACCACCAATTCAACTACTTTTGTTTTTAGATATCAAAATCCAGGTTTCAATTTTTAATTAGGACATGAAGATGTAGACTTCATTGCACTTAGCAAAGTTGTTTTTGAATGATTGATGAACTAAGTTAGGTTTCCTGATTAGCTGCCTTGGTTTATGAATTGTCTTGTGCTTGTCTTTTTGAAACTAATGATCAAAGTTTCTTATCATAAATATGAAATATGCATATGATAGAATGAATATAGATGAGGTTCCAGGTGGGATTGATTGGCTACATTCAAGCATGCATCATTCATGTCTGGTATGCGTATACACTCCTTTTATTTAGGTTGTTTGGTATCCTTCTTCTCTTGAACAATAAAATATAAAGGTGTAACGAATAATTGAATGGTATTTGAAAGCGGTAAAAGAAAAAAGGGGGCATTCCGAGAATCGAACTCGGGACCTCTCGCACCCAAAGCGAGAATCATACCACTAGACCAAATGCCCTAGTTGAATATATTTCTTTCATTAAATCGAATTTATCGCANTTCTTGATGATGGTACAATTTATTAATGTGTACGCTAATTGTTTGATTACAAGAAGTTTTAAGTTGAAATGAAAATTATGAATAGAAAGTCAAAATATCCTAAACAATTGAACTCATAGCCTCCCATGCCAAAATGATTCTTTTCTCTTATGTGCTTCCTTCAAAATCGAGAATCTACCCCTAGATCAGCTGCCCTATCTTTTCCTATATCAAATACAGGAGTTCAATTTTAGTAAGACATATGAAGATGTAGACCTGGTCGTACTTTTATCTAAGTTGCTCTTGAATGTTTGATGAACTAGGTTAGGATCCTTGATTATAGCTGGTGGATTCTGATTGGCTGGCGTTCAAGCATGCACCCTTCATGTCTGGTATGCATATACACCCCGAGTCTTTTATTTAGGTTGTTTTCTTACATTCTTCTTTTAGCAATATTTGAGCAATAAAATAGAAAGAGCTAACAAATAATTAAATGGCATTTGGAAGATTAAATTTTGAAAATGGTAAAAGAAAATGGGTCGCTCTGGAAATTGAACTCTCGCTTCCCAAATCAAGGATCTTAGTTTTTTAAATTTCAATTATCGTAATTAATATTAAGTCTTCATAATGTTGGAATCATGCTACAGTTTAGTTTATTAATGTGTTGTCGATGAAGTTATGTTTTAATGGTGGTTGGTAAGCTTATGGGTAAAATACAATAAATTTTTGGGTTAAATGAAAATTATGAATAGAAAGTCCATACGGCATCCAAAACAATGGAACTCAGGACCTCCCTTACCAAATTGATTGTTGTTTTCTTACGAAATTGAAAATCTACCTATGATCAACTGTCTTATATTTTCCAATATCAAATGCAGGATTTCATGGCTGGGCACATGCCCTTGTCGCTATGAAATGTTAAATATTTTTTATCAGAAATATATAAATATATATTATAGATGTGCTTCCAGGTGGGAACAAGAACATGGCATGGCTGGCTAGTGTTCAAGCATTCATCCTTCATTATTTGGTATGATTTATATCTAAAGATTACTGACAAATGGGGCATTACAATAATTGAACTCGGGACCTTGAAGCGAGAATCATACCGCTAGACCAAATGCCCTGATATTAGAGTTTAATAGACTAAGTTTTTGTGTTAAATGAAAATTATGCATGCGTCTAAAACAATTGAACTCGAAACCTCCATATCAAATTGATTGTTTTTTTCTTATGCTAACTTAGAATTTGAAAATCTACCAAATTTGTTAATGCTAAAAGTGAAGGGGCATTCTGAATAGAATCGTTTCTATTTGATTATACATAATTTATTTATTGTTCTTTATTTTAATTCAGATGATATCCCCTTGATGTTGGGCATGGCTTGCTACATATTCAAGCATTCATCCTCCATTATTTGGTATGATTTATATTTGAAGGTCACCTGAATTTTATTTAGGTTGCTTATATGTTTCTCAGGATCTATATATATACATATGTACCTTATTAATAATATATTGAAAATTTTAAAATAGGGGGCTCTTTTGAGAATTGAACAAAGGACCCTCTCACATCCCAATCATACCACTAGATCAAATATCGAATTCCTCTCGACATATCTAAGGGTTTTTAGAATTTTATTTCACATCCCTAACATGAATCCTACCACTAGACCAAATACCTAATTCCTCTTTACATATCTAAAGGTTTCTAGAATTTTATTTAGGTTGTTTTATATTTTCCTCATGATTTATATAAGAATAATGGGAAAAATTAATAGGGGCATTCCGAGAATTGAACTCAGGACCTCTTGCACCCTAAGCAAAAATTATACCACTAGACCAAATGCCCTAGTTCTCTTGAACTATATCTAAAAGTTTCTAGAATTTTATTTAGGTTGTTTATATTTTCCTCGTGATCTATATATACCTTAGGAATAAGGTAATGGAAAAATATAATAGAGACATTTCAAGAATTGAACTTGGGACCTCTCGCACCTAAGCAAGAAGCAAACACTCGACCAAATGCCCTATTTCTTTTGAATTATACCTAAAAGTTTCCTCATGACCTATATATACCTTATGAATAAGGTAATGAAAAAAAACAATAGGGGCGAGACAAAATGCCCTATTTTATATTTTAGTTTCATCAAGTTCCTTTAATTGTAATTATAGTAATGTCTTGATGATGTTGGATTTGTAGTACAATTGACCGATACGTGGTTGGTGGAGGGGCTGTTTTTTTCAATGGAGGTTGGTAAACTTAAAGGTAAAATAATAGTTGGCCTGTTGCGTTTATTTCTAATTTTCTAATTTTAACTTAAAAAGTAATAAATTTTTATTTGCTTTATTTTACTTTTTCAATCTCTTCCTCTCTTTCTATCTTGTTCACCATCAATTGCAATTGCCATCGTTTATACCGTAACTGTTAATTTTTTTTTTTTTTTTTCCATTCTCTTTTCCCTAAAAAAGCTGAAATGATGGTGTATGATTGAATTGTACTATAGAAAAGAGGTAGATAATGTATTATTCGATTGACTTCAGAACCTTTAGTATTATTAAAATTAAGAAATTAAAGAAAAATGGGGCATTCCGAGAATCGAACTCGGGACCTCTCGCACCCAAAGCGAGAATCATACCACTAGACCAAATGCCCTTGATGTGAACAGCCATAACAAGTATTATATTTTTTAGTGAAGTATAAATCATTTTATTATGTAACTGTCTTACAGCCTGTCTCGTTGCAACTCCACTGACAAATCTTTCCTGTAACTAGACTGACCAGCACATGCTATCACGAGCTTAAGGTCAAGATGCTAGCTGGCAGTTGCTTATTTTATACCAATTCTTCTAATTATGACACTTTATTGCTATTTTAAATTTTTGATCTAATCAATATTTTTTAAAAATTCACATTTTTACGCTATGATAGAAAATTCATTATATCATTAAGGAATGCAAATGAAGACTTTAGACGCTTAAGTTGAAAAGGTTTGACGTATTTAAGATTTCAAAGTATTCTAACATTCACATATGGAAACATATATCACAGGTTAACCCACGACTACAAACAAGAATGATTATTCATCTTATCAAGTCAAAATTTCAAAATGTTGATTATACTTATATTCGACAAACATCATCTTGTCGGGAGGTATCCTACACTAAAACATGTGAATAAAATTTTGGTCTTTTTTTTGTTTAAATCCCATTTATTTTCCTATCCTTTTTCATTGTTTACATTAATACATCTCCAGAAGTATCAGACCAATTGAACTGAACAATGGCAGTAATTCATTAACATCAGAGAGCATAGATAAACGACCACTGGTATCCTACACTAAAAGCAATACACATTTTTACATGCAACTATCTAAACCCACAGAACGTTCCTCCTTGTTTTGATATCCAGTCTTCTAGTCAGACATGACACTGTTGCTCGAGTTGCCCAAAACCCGATTGAAAATGTTGGGGAAAAGGTTGCTATAATGCTTAATCGATAGCGAGTGTGAAACATTTCAATCCCTTTTAAGTACAGCTCCACAACTTCTCCAAGTCAGTTTTTGCTTTCCATCAAACCCGAATCATCTGCTGACGTGTATCAAACAAAATGCACATATAAGTTTTTGAGATATTCGTTAACCACATCAGAATCTTAAAGCAGAAGTAAGGCTTGAATGACAACAATGCTGGTTGAAAGAATCCCAGACGAAAACTGTTTTAGGAAACTAAGGGTATAATAAGATCATTAGCCAAGGAGTTTGTTAGCAGGAGACATGGGTTATACAAGGAGATGAAAGCTAGTAATTATGTAGCTGTTCGTTTATGGATGAGCATACTAAAAAAAGTACTCTAATATAAAGCATAGTTCAATAGTTCAATAGTAATTGACAAGTACTTCTTCCCTTAAGGTCGGAGATTCTCGTCTCCCTACTCCACAACTGCGTATTCAAAACAAAAAAGTCTTCGGGTTCCTTGAATTACTTCTCAACATTTTACTATATTTGCCTCAGGTATTCAATTAAATTTCCAAACTCTCGAGATAATACCACTTCGATTGAATCAGAATCCTTAACCTCTAATATTCCCATATATGATATTTGTAATTGTAGCAAGGAAATTATTCGCTAATAAAGAACCTAATTTGTTTCTAAGATTGCCTCAATTAGTAAAGGTAATGTGGATTCTAGTAATTGCCACATCCCTCTGTATAATACTGATAAACGGATCAAACTTATTGATCCATAAACCCAATGGAATTAAGAAACAAAGAAATAGATTCTCGAGCAATTTCAGCAGTATAAATAAATAATAATACAGTTTACCATCTTTGGAAGATTTCTTCCTTTCAGTGTCTTCATTGCGGCTTCAGCAAATGATTGTGCTGCTTCTGCATCGGCCTCAGCCGCCTCGGCTTCCCTTGCTGCCTCTTCAGCTTCTGCTATAGCTGCTTCTGCTTCTGCAACTGCATGCGCAGCAGCTGCCGCTGCCTCTTGGGAAGTCATGGTTCTCATCTTGGCTAATTCAAGATCGATTTGAGCTTTAGCAAGAATACACATTTCGTCCTTGTCAGCTCTTAAAGAAGCTCTTTGCTGGTCGTCCAAGAATAACATAGAGCTCCTTCTCTCTGACGAAGGCATCACTGGAGGAAGCCTATATTTTCGTTTAACCTGGACAAAACGAAACTAAATTTAACGCTCAAAACGTTGGGGAGAGGTGATATTTTTTAGTCTATCAATAGTACAACATAAGAAAGAATTGACTACTTAAGGCTCAGCCCATCAAAAGTAGTCAAGCAGGTAATTGAGATTACACATTTGTGCTAAAGCTAATATCTAGGAGGATCCTGAAGAATGGGCTGGGAGGGAAGTGATGGCAGCAAGCTTGACATAGATAACGTCATATAACCAAGGAAAAAGAGGAAAGAAAGGAAAGCCGGCAATCCAATCATCTTCCCAGAATTAAATATGATTGTCTTTCTCCAGAGAATAATAGTGGATTTCTCAGCAAATTATTTCACATATTATTATATTTCACTTGTCGCAAAAGTTGAAATATATCATTACAGATATCGCTAATATAGGAGTATAATGCAGCAACCAAACCATTTCACTAGGAACAATACACTATGATTATTATTTTAAGTAAACAACAATAGAAAAGAATAAATAGCAAGTAACTTCAAAGAGTTTTCTCCTTTCTTTTTTTTTTTTTTTTTTTTTTTTTTTTTTTTTTTTTTTTTTTTTTGTTCTTTTAAGAAATCAACAATGAAAATCAGATTTGCTTACCTTGACCAGTTTACCACTAGCTGTTAAGAACTTCAATTTTGATGATAACAACCTCTTGAAGTCTGGTGGTGCCCAGTATTGATCCTATTGATGGAAGGAAAAAAAAAAGAACTCAACAATAGCAAAGACAAATACAGTTCAATTTCAGGAAGAATAATTATGAAAATATGATTTCATATCCAAAGGGGAAGCCCCTGCACAAAGTAAGGAGTTGCAACTAACTTTTCAAATGGACATAAAAAAAGTGTTAATTAGAAAAAGAGAAGGGTGAAGATCTTGAAAAAGAAGCATATAAATATTATAACATCAAAAGCCACAGGTGATTCAAAACATAACTACAAATTGTACCAAAATTTCTGACGAATGTTGAATGTCACTTGAATCAGTCGATTATTGAGAACTAACTACTCATTGAATTAAAAAAATTGATAAAATGGGATTGTAAATCACCAAGGATTCAGAATAATCAATAAAACTCTCCTATCAATCCAAAAATTAATAGTTACCAATCAATAGAAGCCGTTTTTGCCCCTTGTTTTCAGAAGATGAGCACTAGCATCATGAATATAGATCCATAAAGCTTATACCTACTTATTTAATAAAGAACAAAGCCTAAATATGTAAGAGATCGAAATCAATTGATTTCACCAACAACCATCTCCCTTCATTTTCTCCTCGCATTGATGAGAAAATGAGGGAAGAAATTCGACTTAAGTTAAATTTCTTAATTTGGTGAAAGGAAGACTACCTCTATATATGAGGTAATCTTTGTCTTATTAGAGCCCCCAGGTTCCCTCAAGGTAGTAATTGCCTCAATTATGAGATTGTCTAACCTGTAAAATAAATTTAGAAAAAAAAAAAAAAAAAAAAAAAAAAAACAAATTATACCTCAGTTGGCTACCAAATGTATATCACAACAATGCATGTTTCAGATGCTTAAATATATATGTTCCACCTTTATCAAAATGAATAGTTGCTTTTCCTACCAGGAAATCATTCGTTTTCTTGTCTATGTTCTAGGTTTTGGCTACTTTGAACTAAAATGTTATGGAATTTGACCTTTTTTCCCACCTATGACAATCATATCTTGCATCTCTTTCTGTTCTTTCTGCTTCCGTTTCTTCTTCTTCATCATCATCGTCTTCTTCTTCCTCCTCTTCTTCTTTTCTGTTCAAAAGTGGGCACAAGATACATTTATTCAGAATACAAAAGAAATAAAAGCGCCAGGAAAATTAGATTGTTTCTTGCAGCTAGTAGCCATAGATCTTTTGTCTTTTAAAAAAAATTCCATTTCACACTTAAAAAAACCATGACAGAGTCCAGGGACAGTTTCGTGATAATAATTCAAAACTAGAGCCAATTTGAAAAACCCATATTATTCTAGAGGTAAAAACGTGATGGAGTCCCTAAAGCTTAAATAACCCAGTAATTTGAAAATGATAAAAATGTGATTAGAAAATCTAATTGAACGGCTAAAAAACATGCTCAACGTTTTTTCCTGGAAAACAAGGGAGAAGATAAATCTCTCGTATTTTGTTCCATTTAGAAGGAACAAGCGATTGCCAAATAAAGTGTAAACGCAATAACATTGATCAACCTTTTTGAGTGCAGCTTAACTTGAACAATCTACAATTTTCTGTTTAGAAATTTTGGTCTCTCATGATATGTTCCACAGGTCTTTCATTGTGAAATGAGTGGAATAGGAGGCAGTTTCACAATGTTGAAAGTGAAACTTGTAGATCTACATTTATTGACATTCATCCCTTCAAAATGAGCTCTCCCTAATTACTATCTTGCTACAGTTCATGCCAATTTGAAATCCATTTTGCAACCCTTGGCCTTGAGGCTATTGATTGGGTGGTATTTTATCCCATTCCTCTAGTGTTACATCTTTATAAATATGATTTTCATTTTCTATCAAAATATTTCTAGATTTCTTCTTCAAATCAGCTAATAATTTAACCCCAATTCATATGTAAGCTTCTAAATTCCAACTACAACAGATTTCAAGCCTCACTTAACTTGTAACATACTGACAGTGCACAATTATTTCTGATCCTTCTACAGAAGATTGAAAAGGATCAGGATTTATGATTGTGATGTTTAAGCACATGATACTTAACACTCATCACAATATATGCTAAAGGAGCTTTATCTCGAAACCTAATGTATATAATTAGAA